GCACTCTTTTCTGGGCTGCTGGTTGGTTGCTCAATGCACACTGAGAGAAATGCGAGAGTTAATGTAATGCTAACAATGTTGCCTAGGAACAGATTCGTATACCACTTATGAGAAGTTGTATTAAAATTATTTTCGCACTTTCCACTCCTTCAAAACTCCCCCCACGGCAAGCTGCAACAACTGCTTGCTGTAACAACTGCTTGCTGTAACAACTGCTTGCTGTGCATATTTTTGGCACAGTGTTGACTCCTTTGACTGTGTGGCAAGGCACTGCTAAATATGTATGCCAAATGCGATTTGCATATAACGTTTTGTGAAACGGTTTTGCGAAGTAGCTGCCCAGGGAGTGCGGGCATGGAGGGCAGGCACCTGGCTGCTACTGGCGTCTGTCTACTGGCCGTGTGCTGCCTACTGCCTGCCGGCTGGTATGCCTTTTAGCCAAGCCATGTTACGTTGGATTTTGCCTCATTTTTCTTCTCCTTTTTTTTGGGTGCAAGCAGTCGGAACTGGGAAAGCGAGCCATGACTAAACAGTGCCACTGAATCGCTGTATGAGTATAGGTGCGTGTGTGTCTGTGAGTTTACTTTGTGCAGTCACTGTGCATCCGGTATGCGAGGGGATTGTCTAGCCCCCGGGTCACGTCGCCAGGCTGTGCGATGGTCAAACAACGGATTGTTGTCAGTTTTGATAGCCAGAAAGGATGCTCAGCAGGCTCAGGTTATGGCACCAGTTGACTCGCCAAGACCCTCAGCTGTGCAATTGAACTTTCCGTGGCTGGTGTGGAGCTGACTGTGTGCTGGAGTGGATGGATTTGGCTTATTTACATGAGAATTAGATGAAAATACGATAGATTGGCGAGCTGATTGGCCATGGCGTAGACATGTCATTAAAATGCTAAAATCTTACAGAATATGCATACAATTATGCCAAAATGTACGCCCATCCCCGATTTGATTGGCAATCAAAATAACTTTCAATTCATTTGATGGAAATCATATCAGTATCAGTATCACCATCAGCAACGATGCTCGCCAAATTGTTCGCTTTATGAGGAGCAGCTGCCAGGCTCAAATGGAATACATCGAAAACGGGCAGCAAACGTTTTGTCGTAAAGGATGAAGGAGTTGTATGCCCGGATCCAAGTGCTGGCCAGCCAAAGGCATTGCTGGAATTCCCATTCAACTTCAGCCCGAATCTGGCTTGTTCAGCTCTTTGGCCAAGTTGCACGATAAATCTCAAACCAAAAGTTGTGTTGTGTGCGGTCCACACTGTGGAAAGATGTTGGACGGTGGCAACAGGGGGCGGGATGGCTATCAGAGTCCAAAAGATTGTGTAAAATATGCAGACCTTTGGGGCCGACCAGAAAGCGGCAAGGCACAGAGCAGCAGGCACCGAGCAGCGAGCAGCGAGCAGCCAGCGCTGAACCACTGGAAGTTGACACAACGTCACAAAGCGCATTATGATGATCAACTCGATTATGGCCAAGAGCAGACAAGACAGTGTTGCCCGCTCTGTTGGCCAAATCGCCATACATTATCCACTGATAAATTACAAAGAGAACAACTACAAACAGCGCAAAAATATGTGAATTTAGTTATTTTCTTTTGTTCTTATTTTTCACCAACTGATTCTGAAGGCAAGAAGCCAAAACGGATTTAGGGCGTAACAATTTCTTACACGGCACCGAGTCTCAGCACTGGGCAGCAGCACTGTGCAGTAACTTTTATTGGTATTTGGTTTTGGGGACTGCACATCCCTTTCGTTCCCTTTCGATCCCTTGGCACACACACAAAGGCAGCTGACGGGGAGGCACAGTAAACAGTCAGACAAAAGGAATTCGATTTTCAGCTATTTTCTATTCCAAAAACGAAGTTCTAGCCGCTGGAAGCAACCTACTTACGACTTTGGCCACACACTCTGCACTACTCGCTCCTCTCTGCTCCGGACAAGGGCCATAAACACGTGATAAAAGCTTTACTTGCAATTTTAACTTTGCTGCCGAGTGTGGGCCGAGCCGACAGAGAGGGATAGCAACAGCAGCAGCAGCAGCAGCAACGGCAGATGCCCGGCATTGTTGTTGGTTCTTTTTGACTTCTTTTGCTTTCCATTCTTCAGCCACTGTTGTTGCAATTTCTGTGTGTTGTCTGGCTGTCGGTCTGTCTCGCTGTCTGTCTGCCTGTCTGGCAGTGTTGAGCGTCGGAGCGGCGCCAAGGGCAGCCATTTTTCATTGGCGGGCGTATGTGACGTGCCAACGAAGCCGCCGCACAGTGGGCCCAGTGGTTGCAAAGCGCATGCCAAAAATTATAATACGCAATTGTTAAATGCGCGTACATTCTGTGCTGGTGGTACTTAGGTAATCCCGAAAAGGTGCCAGTAAGAAGTGCCTGTCTGTGATGTATATTTATTTACTTCTATATTTATTTACTATTTTGTCTACACTGTGCGGCTTTTGCTGGTGGCTGTTACCGCTGCTGCCATTGTAATGTGTCAGTCAGTCTGTCAGTTAGTTCGTCATAGCAAAAGATTTCTTGTCTGCAGCCCTCCTCTTCCATTCTGGCAGCTATATATCTCTCTTTTGCGCTCTCTCTCTCTCTCTTCGTATCTCCCTGGTGAGCTGCTTAACCGTCTGTCGCCTGTCTGTTTGACAGACGTTTGTCGAGGGTCATTTCATTGCATTTTGGCTGCAGTTGTCTTTTCGTTTGTTTACGAGTTTAAAGATGCGAATACAACATTATAAGTTGGCTCCTAAACGTGCTTGGCCGATAAGATTGTCCTTCCACAAATGTTTGCCATCTTCTTACAGTAATAACCTTCAATTGAATCATAAATCGTAGTATCTTTTGCCATATTCCTTTTCAAATTTCCATCCTTCCCCCATTAGTTAGAGTATTCACAGATCTTCTTGCCAAATTAGTAATTCTACGCGGAAACTTTCTTTGCCTTCTCAGCTTCCTTTTCTGGCATGTTTACTGTCTGTTTTGTTTTTCCCAAGCTTTTGTGCTCATCCCCCCCCCTTTTTGTAGATTACATAGATTTTATTTTGAAAGCGCAGGGAGAGAAGAGAGCATCCACAGCAAGTAATTGGGCGCAGGACCGGCTCGTGGTTCATTTCGATTCCGCTCGGAGTTTCTTTTGGCACAGAGTCAAGCGCGATGCTGGCTCGGGCTTCGCCTTACATAAATATGCCACTTAACAAGCCACCAACGTAAACGTTTCTTATTCCTTCGAATACTTCGCATTGATTGCCCCTGTCATGGATGTGTGCCTCCGGGATGGATGTGCCTCTTGGTATGCTGTGACACTCTGTGCCACAGTGAAGTAAACACTTGCGGGGGCTGGCTTGAGGACTGTCTTTAAGTGCCGAAGTATCGTCTCGAGCAACTATCGCTTTGCATTTGCATTTGCTGCAGATGGCCGCTAAAACACAAGGCTCTCCGCTCATCATCGGTAGCCGTTTTGCAATTTATTTAATTCGATGTTTGTTTTCGCAAGTGCTGCGAATAAGCAAAAGATATAACCAGAAGCACACATTCTGACTGTGGCTGGCACTGCGATTCTCATTCTCATTCTCATTCTCATTGATTTGAATATGTCAGCAATTTGTGTAGTTTTGTGCAGCAATGCGCCCCCAAAGCTTACCACTCTGAAGGACCCCTCGAATGCCAACGCCTGGCACTGGGGGGAGGAGGGTGCATGCTGCGTAATGCAATGTAAACCAAACTAAACCAAACCAAACAATTTAAAATCATGGCATGCATTTGGCTTCAATTCAATTTAAACTGAAATGAGCGCGTGGCCGGCATGCATCTGTGTCGTTGGCCAGACGAGGGGGACTGATGTGTGGGATGCTCAGCAGACAGGGCGGCAGAGAGGCTCGCAATTATTCCAGAGTAAATAAGTGTACGTGTGTGTGTCTGTGCACTGTGGTTTGAGAGGCATTCGTCACTGCGATGACCACACTAAAGTCTTTCAATCATTGAGTACAAATTAAGCAATCCTTAAGGTATGCAAAGGTACTGAAAAAAGAATTTTCTTTTTTGGTGAAACCCGTACAGAAGAGTCATCCTCTTCTTCCATCTATTCCCAATTTACACAGCTAAAATGTAATCTAGAAATCCCTTAGAGAATATTACAGCTGTAATCTAAACATTATTCAGTGCTAGAATAAATTTGCTTTTACTTGGCATTCATTTGATATGCGGCCAACAAATTGAAAGCAATTTCATTACAAAAGTTTTCGCACCGCCAAGGCTGCAGCTGGGCGCACTGTAACGATTACAGATTGAAGAGTTGCAGCGGGCTTTGAGCTATGCTTACAGAGCGGCGCGCTGTTAATGTAGAGCCAAGCAGTTACAGTGCGCTGTTAATGTGACGCCAGTTACACAGTGCGCGCGGGTGCTGTAATGCAGTTACAGTGCTCTGTTAACTAGACTGACATCAGCGAAAGAGAGCACAACATGGGACAGAGAGAGAGAGAGAGAGAGCGAGCAGCAGGGAAAGTAGATTTTGTAACTCGTAAATTTGCCGTTAGTTATGCATTTTTAATACGCCCTCACAGGCTGTGCAAAGTTGAGCCATTACAATGCTGCCCCCGCCCATGCCATTGCAGCCTTATTGACACTTGCACCCAACTGTGTCGCGTTTGCACAATTTATGGCCGCAATTTCCCCATTGAAATTGAACGTTGTTTCTATGCTGATGGGCAGGCACCACGCAGCTAAACCAACATAAAAACCAAACCAGCACATGCCGGGCATAACCTTAAATAAGTGAGTGCCAAAACTATTCGTCTCCCCGAGCATTTATAAGCGCCAAAGATGCGAGTTTGACAGCATAGAAGTGTCAGGAAACAGGAACGGGTAGCCGTACAAACAATTGCAATTTTTGCTCTGGCCAATTAAAAGTTTCGACAGAACAACAAAGTGGTGGCCGAAAATGTTTCGACACTTGGCTGCCTCCTTTCGTTTACCGTTTTTGGCCTTACATATTTGCCTTGTTAGCGTCAAGTTTGTGGGGGAAATGGCAACTCCAAGTATTTGCCATGGCAATTTAATGAGAAAATGTAGGACAGATCACCCATCCATCCATCCCATTCACATTCACCGGCTTATCTTCGCAGTAGTCGCCGTCATCGTTGTCTTCGTCGTTGTCGTTGTCGAAGACTGAAGCACTACTCACAGCCGTCTGAGTGCCAGCATTGACTGCGAGTGCATCCTTTCACCCACAAACCCACAGAAGCAGAGGCAACGTGGCACACAGCACAGCACAGCAGAGCACACCACACGCAGAGCAGAGTTCATGTCCCACTCGTGCTGGCAACTCGTGTTCCTGTTGGCCCTTTTCAATAAATCACAGACCCAAATCCGCAAATGTCAGCGAATTCTATTGCTGTACAACTTTGTTCACAATTCGCCAACAACAGCGACAACAAATTGGCGTGGATATAAATTATGACACCTCAATGACAAGTGCAAAGCGATTTGCGGACAGTGTGCACAAGGGCAACAGCAATGGTAACAGCTGCACTAACAGCAGCACTAACAGCAGCACGAACAGACCTCTAACAGCAGCACTAACAGCAGCACGAACAGTGGATAGAAAAGCAGTGATGACACTGAGCCTGACTGAGTTTGGTTTATTTAAATAGGCAGATCACGTTAAACTAAACTTAAACTTCTTGCCAACGATTCTGCATGTAGCACAGCATTCATACAGTAATGGAATGCTTGTACCTAAAGTGCTTTATACTCGTAGTAAAATTAAATGTTTGGCCTTGTTTAGGCATTCCCCGTCTACATTTTTCACTCTTTTTTCTGTGTCTGTGTGTGCGTGACCAGCGTAGACTTTAAAGCGCCGCTAGGTGTCCTGGCCAAGTGCCACGAAAGTCAAGTGCAAGAAAAAAGTGCAGCAATAAAGGTGCGAAGGGAAGCTGAGGAAGCAGTCCCAGCCCTCCTTCAGGCTGCCACTGACCCACCGCCCAACTGCAATAAACTTTTGTATTGTGGCCCTTGGACATCTTTATAACTTGGGTTGCAGGGCAGGGCGGTCACGCCTCGCCTTTCAGTACCACAACCTGAGGCACTTTAAATGCCTTTTGGCTTTTATGAGCAACGCTTTACGTGCCACCACAACAACAACAACAACAACAACAACAAAATAAACTTCAAGAGACGAAAAAATAGTTCATGGGAAAAGGGAAAAAATATTTAAAATTTGGAACATCAGTCGATTGGGCACTTAAAATGTTTATGGGCCAATATGCAGGCAGCCGACACTCAATTGCTTTTTAGACAACACAAAAAGGTCCACAAAATATATATAAATATGTCTATGGTATGTAAAAACATGTGTAAACATTCCACGCAGCCAAGTGTGAACAGTTTTTTGCGCATAGTTTCAATTAAACATTTTATTGAGTGCATTTTTGGTGTGTTGTAGAACACAATTTATTTTTAGGCAACGTTTCAGGCATTGAGACTGGCAAATGCTCTGTGAATGTCCGTGATATAAATTCGCCAGCATAATTCAAGGAACATTAGGGAACTCCCTGAATGCTCCCTCCCTTTCGACTTAATGCAGACATAATCATGCCTGCACTTCAGCCTCGAGCTATTCAATGGCCCAAAAAGGGCCAATCTAATGGCATTTCTGGCTAAAAAATACATTTGGTTACCATTGAAAGAACATTTTTGCATTTGCTGAAAGCACAGTGGCAACCAAGCTTCATTTTGCGCTCACAATAATAAATTAAATTCAAATATGCATAAGGGTGTGAAGGGTTCAAATATGCATCATTTGGAAATCTTTTTGGGATTCAATAAGCGATATAAAGTCTAAAGTCTATGCTGAGTGGAAGCTGCTCTCAAGTCCTTAAATATTCTAAAACCTTTTCCACATTTTCCAAGATTTTATAACTGTTCCTGGAACTGTATGCTTCGTCCCACTGTTCCCAAAAAAACTGCTCTTAAAATGAGCCCTTTTGGGTGGCAAGTCAGCTCTTTAAAGCGCCAGCCAGTAGCTGCCACTTGGGGCACCGACAAAATGTTGTCTTGTCATATAATTCTCACTTTTATTGACAGACACAAGCTGCCAGATTTGTGCACTCTTATTTGGAGCGTCTGCGAATTTGTAATCATTTTCCGCACGGCCTGGCTGCGGTCGTCTGACGACTGTGTCTGCCAGTGCTGAATTGCTGGCTGAGACGACTGCAATTGGAGCAGCCAGACAGGCAGTCAGATGAGAGCGGGAACTAATTAGTGCATTAGCATTTAGCGGCATGAATTCTGGCGCAGTGGAGAGTGGCGAACTTTCACCGTCGATGTATGTGGGTTAGGCAAAAGTTGATTCGTTTCTTTTCGGGTTTTTTGCCTGATGGGCAGGATATTGGCATCCATTTGGAGATGCTGACAGCTGCTGCTGCTCCTGTAATGCTTGACACAAATATAACAACTGGGGCGCCAGGGAGCTGGCTGTTGCGGTGAGGTTTATGGCTTGCGAGGCCTGCATCTGGTGCTCATTAAGTATCTGCATATCTGATGGATGCTTACTTACGGATGTGTCAGCTTGAACGCAACTCAAGGCAGCTCAAGGCTGAAGACATGATGATATCGATTTGCCGTGCCACAGACTGATGATTGATTAAAATTGCCCCCTAAGTAACCATGATGAGTGGATGGTTCGCTCACAAATCAAACGGAAATGCAATTAGCAAATCCAATGCAGCAATTGAAAATTTAAATTTAAAAACAACCACAAACTGGGGAGCGCACGGACGAGTTGATTTTCATGTAAAACAAATATCACTTAATGTGGCCACATTCCCAGCGGAAGGAAGGAAGGGAAAGGAACGGCTAATGGGAAAGCAAAAAGGCACGTAGCCAGCAAGCAGTGTCAGCAAGCAGCAACAACAACAAGCAGTCGGCAAGCAGTCAGCAGTCACTGGTCAGCAGCAGCAGCAGCAGCCTCCCCTTGTCCTTGTCTGGCACAACTCACATATCGTGGGGGAGTCCCACGTCCTAGTCTCCTGAACTAGCCACCCGGCACGTGTGCGTGTGCGTGTGCAGCTCGTAAAAAAGTGTGCATCAGGTTGCAACGAGCAGGGTGCTGCCGTGTGGCATTAATACCAACTGTCGACAAACAACAACAGCCGCACCACCAGCAGCAGCAGCAGCAGCAGCAGCAATAATATTATGAGAAAGCCAGCCCAGAAGGCGGACCATCAGCAGGACCACCTGGTGGTCTTAGCCAGGACAACACAGACTGTTCCGTCAGGACAGTGGTGCGCAAGCAGTGCAGCAATTGCTGGGAAAATGTTGCTAGAGTGTCAAGGAATTATCTTACAAGTATAAGTTTCTAAGTAGAATTCAGACTCAAACAAAATTCTGATAATTGCAGCTGCTATTATGTTGGATAACTTATTTAGTTCCCATGAAATTCCATAAATTTTGGTGCTGTAAATGCATTTGGAACCCCATTTTGACCACGCTGCAACCACTGTGCAGCGGCTTGACCATTGCCCATGGCACTTAATTTTAATAAACAAAATACTCGGCGCGCGTGGAGCAGCCCCAAGGATGCAGCGGGGCTGTCGTGGATCAGCAAGAAGGAATGGGAAGGGTGCCCCTAGCCCAGCCGCAAGGATGAGGCGGGTGCTGCTCGTGTGCCAGTCAGGATGGAGCGACGACTGAATGACGATAGTTAGAGTCACCTTTTTCCGGACTGTGGGTTGGCTGCGAGTAAAGGAAGGAATTCCAGTCACTGATATGAGTATTTTTTACTGCTCTGACGGAGTTGTAATGAGCCGCACGAGAAATGCAAAAAGTTTTTCGGCAGCTCTCGCAGGTAAGAGCGCAGCCACAGCATCCGGCACCCCAGAGATCGATGTCTAACCATAACTCAGGCCAGTGCGAATGCTGGGAACGGGTTCTGGTAGGTTTTTGGTTTGGGCTGAGGTAAGCAAACTCCTTCAGCTTCAGCTTCAGCTTCGACTTTGACTTTGCGTTCGCTTTTCGACTCGCTCCCTGCGAGCACACGGGTCGCACGTGCTCTTGTCATTTTACTTATAAAACTTTTGGCGTTGCTTGTTGTTGCTGTTAGGCGTTGGAGCGCTGTGCGCTGTGTGCTGTGTGCTGTGTGCTGCGTGTTGTTTTGGCTGCTTTTCAATTTTATTGTGAGTAAAACACAACTGAAACTGTAAGAGGCGTCGGAGTGGTACGTGATTTACACCTACACCAGGATGTGCATTTTGTGGGTGCATCATTTTATGATGGCTCCCTGATCTACCCCCCCCCCCCCCCCCCCCCCCCCCCCTCTGCCCAAAAACCGTTTTTACTCCTGCACTTACCACATGTCACGCCCTTTCGTGTGTGCCAGCACTGCCTTACCCACTGTGCCTGCCACTGTCCCTGGCTCTGCTTGTTTTCCATTTAAAGTTTATAAGTCTGGCTGTTTGCTTATATTTTCGTTAATGCTGCTCATCCGCACATGCACATTCGTCTCCGTGCACCTCTGCTCCTGCTCCCCATAGTTGGGCTCCCAATTTTACGGCTTCAGTTGATTTGACTCTTACGTACGTGTTGATGCAAACAAAATCCGCAGCCTGACAGCCACAGCTTTTGGTCATGGGGCATTGCATTTGAAGAATATAGCATCCGCCGTGTGTCCACTAACCACTGTTCCCCGTCCGCTTTCCCCGCTGCCCCATGGCCACGTCAAAGTCAAAGCCACGCGCCGCGCATTGTCATTACACGCGCGGACGCTTACACGATTGAAGGTTTTGGGTTCGACTCGGGCCTCCTCACACACAGGCACAGCGCCAAGCGCCGTAGCCCGTAGCCTGGAGGCAGCCAGCATGCCTGCACCCCGCTCTCTATGCCGAGGATGCATTGCATTTTAATGAAGATATACGGCGCGCGTTGTTGGCCCTGTGAGAGAGTGTCACGGCGCACTGCTTGCTCGTGGCTTAGTTGGAAAATTTACACGCCGCTTTTCACACCGCATCGCTCCAGCACT